TGACTAAATAAGCAAACAAAACGGTTTTCAACACAAACTCAAACCCAAAACTGTCGATTGACAAGCAAGTGTGCAAAATGTTATTCGCTATTCATTTGGGAGAATACATTGGCATTTGGTTCATTCATTATTCATAGTCGACAAACACACATTTTGCATTAAACAATACTCGTCGCCATCGCCACCGCTGCCGTTGCCATTATTGTTGTTGTTGGTCGTCATCGTCATGAGTTTAGTTAGTCTCTATACGCTCTTTGTTGTTATTCTTAACGGGGCCGGTGTCGGTGTCGGTCGCCGTCAACACTTCAACGATTTTGAACCTTTTCACATGATTTTCACATGGTCAAAGATCGCGATTTAGTTGATCATTAAAATACTTATTCGTTTTGCTTGGCGATGCTTTTTTTATTCTCCAAATTGAGCATAATAATCGATTATATTCTCACCGTTTCAAACCAAATTGGCCAAATGACATTATGGCATACATAGAATATTTCCACACATTTTTGACATATTCAAAAGAATGTCATGCCATCCGATTTTTGTTTCACAGTGCTATTGCAAAATGTGCAAGGTTTTTGAGGTTTAACTAGAATGTCTGCCTCCACCACTCTCACTCCACCGACCGACCAATGCACGGCACATTGATCAATTGAATATTATATATTGAGATATAATTACACGACTAATCCGAAGATTTCAAAACGGATTGACGCATACGTGATATGCAAAGTGATTGAGTGTGATTGCATCAAAAAGATTTGCACGCTTCAATTATTAATACAAAATAATGCAAAGTGAAAAGTAGTCGTATGCGCAGTTGTGGATCTTTTTGATGCAATTTCTCTGGAAAAAATTATTTGTTTTATCTACCCAAGAAATATCAACTGTTGTTTGCATTGAAATGTTCTAGAAAAGTTTTTTTAATGAAAACATAGGAAATTTTTTTTTAAAAACATCGAAATTGTCTTGTAAATGAGATTGGCCGCGCGTTTCCTTCTAAAATTTTCACATGATTCAAAATAGTATTACAACCAAATCATTGTTATTAGTGATTGCGTTAAATTTTGTATAAGCTTCAGTCTATTCCACAATATTTCGTGCACAAAAACTTTGATTTTCACTTATCTAAGGACAGGATTTTCAATCGAAAAGTTTTCGCAATTCCGCAAAAAGTTTTTCTTCATTTCGATTGTCACATGAATGTGGAGCGCTAATCTGAGCGATGCGAAGAGAAGCGGTCGACATCTCATTGTGACTCGGTTGATTCGAAAGCAGGGATTGAAACATTTAAAGTTCGACACAGATCGCATGGAATATTTAAGAGCATGAAATTGAGAGAGAGAGAGAGAGAGAGAGAGAGAGAGAGAGAGAGAGAGAGAAAAGTGCATCAGTCATCTGAAATTATTCATCTTCTTTAATTTACGGAATGGATCTTAGAGAGTGGGTAGAGTGGGTGAATGATAGAGAGTGTGTTTGGGTTCCAATGAGGAAATTTAATCGTTGTACGATTACGAATTTAGACATTGAACGCGAACGATATGTTTTCACTCAAACATGGTACCGTTTGGTGCACCAGCGAAGCATTTAAAATAGTGGGCACATCATTCTCCAACAGAGAACTACATTTGATAAATCTATGTAATGTTTGTGCATAAATGTAAATTGACACATTGTGACATACATTAGCCGGAGATTTGTGCGCAGCAAGTGCATTTTGACACGGAAATGTCTCATGCGCGAGTGGCGTGTCGTTATCATGTTCAAAAGAGCTATTTTTATTGATAACACAAAAGAAGCAAAAATAAAATGATCATAAATCCAAGGGGATACACACTCATTCCAGAGGAAGTGTATGCTCACCGCATAATCATAACCACCGTATATGATTCGTTATGCATTTTTTTAAACCTTACTCCGTCGCTCAATATGAACCATATTCCAATTGAAATGCGCTGTTGTGTGAAACAATCAACCACAAGCTATGTTTTTATGTAGCACTTATGTGCAACGCAAAATTACCACTGAAACCATTCGAAATTCGTTTTGAGGTTTGCCAATCAAACGATCCCAAATCAATTATCTCACCCAAAAAAAAGAGAACCTATATCGAAGCGATAACAAAACCTATGAACGAACAAAACGATTGATTCAAATCCATCTGAAACACTATCTCTGGATTGGAACAAAAGAGAATAGGAGAGGGAGAGGGAGAGGGAGATAGAGAGAGCAACACGAGCAAAAAAAAATGAGCACAAGAACAACACTTTGCAAGAATTATGGCGATGATACTTTAAAAGGCGGAATAACAAGATGTCATTTGTTGTTTACATTGTTATTGGATGTTGATTACAGTTCCGAGGACGACATTTGCTGTTGCATTCACTCACAACGAATTTTAATGTTTTATTCATTTTACTGCTTATATTTTTGTGTTCTCGTCTCCATTCTATCTGTTTGTCGTCGTCGTCGACGTCATCGTCTTTCCAGCCGCCGTTGTCGTTACCATCCTTGTCCTCATCGTGTCTCACTCTCTGCCCATCCTATTATTCTAGCGGATAGATAACAATTTGTCGTAACATGCAATGTTTCTTTTATTGATTTCTTTTTTAAGTGACAACTGACAAGTTTTTATTTCGATGCACCTCTTTCGCTCTCCCTCGATCCCTTTCTCTCTTAATCTTTCTTCCTTACTCGGTCACAATCTTCTACCATCTCTTTCGCTCTTACATTCACTATTTCTCCTGCGTACAACTCCCTTTTTTTTAAGTGAATGGCATTGTTTCGCTTCGTATCCCGTATTTTTATATCCCAAGCATTCGTTTTCAACCGACATTATCACGTCATCCGTTCTTTATTACTTCTAAAACTTCGATGATGGAAAAGATTTCAAGCATCCAAACACAAATAACACACCATGAACTTTTGATGTAAGCCCCGGATCAGATTGATATCACTCTTGGCTTTGCCATTGCCTTAAAATAATAATATTTGCGTGAAATGGCTTTTTTTGTGCGGCGGTTTCAATTGTGAGTGTTGTTTTTTTTCCTCTCTCTCCTTTACCACCACTTCCTATCCATCTAGTCGAATGAAGACATCGAATGTGTGATTAACGTTGTCAGTAGCAATGCAGAAAGGAAAAAAAACAAAAACCTGAACATAAAAATGCAATGCTTTTAAACTGACAAAATCTTCGCCCTCTCTCTCTCTCTCTCTTTCTCTCTCTCTCTCTCTCTCTCTCTCTCTCTCTCTCTCTCTCTCTCTCTCTCTCTTTGATTCCAGCGTCAACACATTTTGGATGAGTTTATGAACTCGCAAAATGAATTTTGAAAGCGTTCCGATGCCAGCACATGCAATTTCACTGGAATAAATAATTGATTCTTTTGGAAAGTTACCTCATGAATTGTAGGGTCGAAATGGAGTAATATTTATGATTTAAGTTTGGGGAGGAACAAAAAAAAACGAGTTCTATAGTTGGCGAATCATTTTTATTGATTTGATTTTCTCATCTGGCCGTCAATCGAATATTCATGTTTTTGTTCCATGCAAATCAATGGTTCAGCTCTGATCAAACTCAAACGCCTCACTTATACGGAGACAACTGTTTTTTGTCAATTTAAACAATTTGATGAAATGCAACCTATTTTCACATCGGTCGGACGGAGGGGCAAAAACGACTCACATAATTGAAATACAATTGAAATTAATTCATTTGCTCTGTATCAATTAGTTGTGTGTTTTTTCGCCATTAATTCAAGAGCTTAAGAGTTAATAACGCATGTTCCATCTTGACACTTTGCAATTAAAATTCATATTTCCAAGTGGTGCACATTGAAAAGCGATTCGTTGAGACAGCATCATTTCTCCAGCAACCATATGCAGTCACATCGCTCGTTCAGACCAAATATGCGTTGAATACTAGAAATCGTCTGCAGAACACGATTCATTTACGATTTGAATACGATTTTAATATGCCCGAACCGAATGAAAATCAAAGGAATAAACTTTTTATTAGCAACAATTACTCATAAAAATTAGCGTATGTTGACAAAAAGACGCAGTAAGTGAATGTAACAAAGGCTAATAAAACGGCCGTAATATTGAGATTAAGGAATCGTTAGAGACAATTTTAAGCGACGTGCTGACATCTATTGAGCCAATGTGTTTATTGGGCTTCGACTTGAAACAAAGTTTACGGAATGCCATCTCTGGAGTCAACGAGTCATTGCATCAACGACAAAAAAGAACATTTCAATCTTTTTTTTGCAGCATTCAAAGCGATTTCGTTCGGAAAAGGAGCCCAAGCTTTCTATTCGATTAAAAAACATGGACTTTTTGATGCATTCTTTGGAAAATTGCGCTTTCCAACCAACTTTTCAATAAAAGCAATAGTTAGTACACTTTTTCTATACTTTTTGCAAGGATTTCTAAAAGAGCGACGCATTTGAAAGAAGAAATGTGAGATCACATATTTAAAAATTCACTTTTAATATTAGAATTAAAACTCTTCTGATTTCAACTCATTCACTTCGTCAATTCATCACTTCGGATTGAAATTCAGGTTGAAATCAGAAGTTTATCATATCTTCGATCACATAGCTGCATCTATAGCAAGTATATACATATTTGACGTAATTTTGTTGCATTCAATGATTTTTGTTCAGTTATGTTGATAGCCAGAAGATAAAAAGAAAATTCATTCGCAAATGAATTGTTGGACATTTATGTCAGATTAGGAAGTTTCGTTTTTTCATTATTTAAAAAGATGGTAGTAAGTTCAGAGGAACAACTAACAACATCAGCCAAAGGTAAGATACACTACTCTCAATCTCATCCATAGATTTGGTTCAGAGAATGTGTAAAATGGCACCAAACGTCCATGAAATAAATAGAAAAACATAGAAAATTGAACAAAATAAAAAG